CTTTTTTTTTTTTTTCCACTGTGCTTTTGATTTGCATTTCCCTGATGATTAGTGATGTCGAGCACCTTTTCATGTGCCTCCCGGCAATCGGTATGTCTTCTTTGGAGATGATTCAGTTCCTCTCTGCCTGTTTTTAAATTGGACTGTTAGGGGTTTTTGCTATTGAATTGTATTAGTTCTATCTATCTATCTATCTATCTATCTATCTATCATCTATCTATCTATCTATTTATTTTATTTTATTTTATTTTAATTTATTCATTAGAGACACAGAGAGAGAGAGAGAGAGAGAGAGAGAAAGAGAGAGGCAGGCTCCATGCAGGGAGCCTGATGCGGACTCCATCCTGAGACTTCAGGATCATGCCCTTGGCCGAAGGCAGGCGCAAAACTGCTGCAGAGCCACCCAGGCGTCCCAAGTTCTTTATATTTTTTAGATGTTAATGCTGTACTAGATATGTGTTTTGTAAATGTTTTCCTCCATTTTGTAAGTTACGTTTTCATTTTATTAATAAATGCTTTTGAATATCTGAAAAAAAGGCTTTTTAAAAAAGCAGAAAGCTTTTAAATTGGAGGTCATCCTACTTATTTATCCTTTGCTTTTGCTGCTTGTGTTTTTGCTCTCATATCCAGGAAATCATTGCTGACACCAATGTCAAGGAATTTTATCCCTATGTTTTTTTTCTGGGAGTTTTATAGTTTCAGATATTCTTAAAGTCTTTACTCCATTTTCAGTTCATTTTTATAAGTGGTGTAAGATAAGTGTAAGAACCACATTCTTACACTTGTGGCTATCCACTTTTCCTAACACTATTTTGAAGGGATGGTTCTATCTCCATTGACTATTCTTGGCTTCCTTGTCAAATATTTATTGACCATAGGTGCAGGAGTTTCTGGGCTTCCAGTCTGACTCCATTGATCTACGTGTCTATTTTAATGCCAGTGCCACAGTTTTCATTACTTAGCTTTGTAGTATAATTTGAAATCAGGAAGTGTTATTTTCCAGTTTTGTTCTTTTTTTCTCAAGGTTGCTTTGGCTATTTAGGGTCTTTTGTTGTTCCATACAAATTTTAGTATAATTTTTTTATTGTGAAAAAATGTCATTGGGATTTTGATAAGGATTGCATTGAATCTATAGATGATTTATATGTATAAAATGTGTGTAGACATTTTAACAATATTAATTCTCCTGATCCATGAATATAGGGTATCTTTCCATTTGTTTGTGTCCTCCTTAATTTTTTTCATCAAAGTCTTGTAGTTTTCTGTGCACTTATTTTACTTCCTTGGTTAGATTTATTCCTAATTATTTTAGTGTTTTTGATGCTATTGTGAATGGAATTGTTTTCTTTATTTCTTTTTCAGATATTTTGTTGGTGGTCTATAGAAACACAATTATTTTCTGTAAGATAATTGTGTATCTTACAACTTTATCGAATATGTTAATTAATTCTAGAAGTTTTTCATTGGGATTCTTAGGATTGTTTTATATATGGGATCAAATATAAATAAAAGCAATTTTACTTGTTCCTTTTCTTTGGATACCTTTGATTTGTTATCCCTGATTGCTCTGGCTAAGACTTGTGTTGAATAAGAGTGGTAAGAGTGGGTACCTTTGTCTTATTTCTGATCTTAGAGAAAAAACTTTCACCTGTTCACCATTGATTATGATGTTAGCTGTGGTTCTGTCATATATGACCTTTATTGTGTTGAAGTATATTCCTTCTATACTTAATTTTTGAGCATTTTTATCATAAAAGAATGTTGTAGTTTGTCAAATGCTTTTTCTGCATCTATTGAGATGATCATATGATTTTTATCTTTTATCCTATTAATATGGTGCATTACATTTATTGATTTACATTTGCTGAACCATCCTTATATCCCAGGTATTATTCCTATTAAATCATGATGATTTTTTTTAATGTGCTGTTGAATTTGGTTTGCTATATTTTGTTGAGTTTTTTTGTATCTATATTTATCAGGGATAATGGTCTATAGTTCTCTTTTCTTGTAGTATCTTTATCTGGCTATTGTATCAGAGTAATGCTATCCTCATAAAATGAATTTGGGAGTGTTTCCTCCTTTTCAATTTTTTGGAAAAGTTTGAGGATTTCCATTAATTCTTTAAATGTTTGGAAGAAAATATTCCTTTTGCACTTGAGAAGAATGTATATTCTACTGCTATTGGATGGAATGTTCTAGATTTGTCTCTTGGGTTCATTTGGTCTAAAGTTATTTTCAAGTACATTGTTTTTTTATTGATTTTCTGTCTCAGTGATCTTGTTGAAAGTGAGCAATTGAGAACCCTACTATTATTGTGTTGTTTCCTATTTCTCTCTTTGGGTCTCTTTATACTTTCTTGAAATATTATAGATGCTCTGATGTTGTATGCATGTATGTATATTTGTTTGTTTTATCTTCCTGATGTATTGACCTTTTGCCATTATATAATAACTATCTTTGTCTGTTGTTACCATTTTGGGCTTAAAGTTTATATTGTCTTATATTAGGATGGATACTTTTTTGTTTTTGCTTGCATAGAGTATCTTTTGCTATCTCTTTATTTTGAATCTCTGTATATGTTTGGAGCTGAGGTGAATCTCTTGTACTCAGCATATAGTTAGGTCTTGTTTTTTAACCATCCAGCCACTCTATGCCTTTGATTAGAGAACTCAATTCATTAGCAATGAGAGTAATTATTGATAGGCAAGGACTTGTTAATGCCATCTTATTGTTTTCTGTGTTTCATGGTTCCATTTTTTTTCTTCCTTTCTTTATGCTTTCCTTTGCAATCAATGATTTTCTGTAGTGGTATGCTTTGATTCCTTTCTCTTTATCTTAGTTTATATTTTAGATTTTTACTTTGTGATTCCAATGAGGTTTACATAAAATATCTTGTAGATATAACAGTCTATTTTATGTTGATAGCAATTTAACTTTGCTTCCATGCCAAAACTCCATCTTTTACTCTCCCTCTTTTTACATTTTTGATGTCACCATTTACATTTTTATTGTGTCTCCATCCATTTAGAAGTTGTTGATGCTATAGCTATTTAAAATATATATATTCATTTATTTTAGAGAGAGCTCGGAGGCAGAGGGAGAGAGAATCTCAAGCAGGCTCCCTGCTGGGTGCAGAGCCCAATACAGGGCTCGATCCCACAACCTGAGGTCATGACCTGAGCTGAAATTAAGAGTCGGACACTTGCTTTACCAACTGATCCACGTGGGCACCCCTGTCTTTTTGTCATCTTAACTATATCTGGACACAGCGTTTCATTTGGCTCAGGAAACTTTCTAGAGCAGAGTGTCTCTCATGTGTTCGAAATCATGTTTGTTTCCTGGGGACACAAAATATGCCAGATGTAGTTTATTTTTTCTTGTTCTAGGTGGGATTTATATATCCTCTAGGACTCTAGATTCTTTTAATAAAGAACACATATTATTTTTTTAAAGAGATATTTATTTATTCATGAGAGAGGGGTATAGGCAGAGGGGAGAAGCAGGCTCCCTGTAGGGAGCCTGATGCAGGACTCAATTCCAGGACCCTGGGATCATGCCCTGAGCCAGAGGCAGATGCTCAACCACTGAGCCACTCAGGTGCCACAAACACATATTACTTTATTTTTTTAAGATTTTATTTATTTATTCATAAGAGACACACAGAGAGAGAGAGAGAGACAGAGACATAGGCAGAGGGAGAAGAAGACTCCTTGCGGGGAGCCTGATGCAGGACTCGATTCCAGGACCCCAGGATCATGACCTGAGCCGAAGGCAGATGCTCAACCACTGAGCCACCCAGGTGTCCCAACACATATTACTTTAGACAAAGATCTAGTTTCTAGGGTTGTTTATGAGAGTGTGTGGGTAAATACTGTTGTTGCTGTGGGAATACTTTGGGTTGTGACAGTGTTGAAAAATATATGTGTTGTCAAATATGTAGTTTTACTTCCTCCTATTTCCAGCTTAACATAGCAAAGTAGTACGTCATTCAAGTTCACTAAATATATATATGTAGGTATACTTAAAGTAATATTGTAGCTTAAGGAAGAATGCAGGAGAAGGGCCATATGGAAGACGGAATTTAGGAAGACTCTCTAAGATGCTAGATACTTGTTTTTGTGATCTCAGGCTGCTCTAACAAAATACCATAGATTGGTGGCTTAAAAAACAGGCATTTATTTCTCACAGTTCTAGAGGCTGGAACATTTGAGGTCATGATGCCAGCATGGATGGGAACACAAACATTCAGTCTAGGACAGTACTGTAGAAGAAGTCAGGAACCCTGATGCTGTCTTTATCACAGAATGTTACATTTCATTTGCCTTTGCCTTAACAAGCTTATTTTTCTCTCCTGTAGGAGGATTTGGGGATTTAATCAATAGCTCCACCATCCTCTTCTCAATTCCAAAACAAAAGTTCCTGTGTCTTTCCATACAATATATGTACACTGTGTACATTAAAAGCTTCAGCTCAAAAAAATAAAAATAAAAATAAAAGCTTCAGCTCGATGCTCACATTGTCTTTTGCTATCTTGCACACAACTTACTCAGCTCAGAGAACTTTTTTTTAGAGTACTTTTTAAGGCAGAATTTACCTCCAGCCTATAATTACCTTTGAAAATATAGCATCCATAAACGAAAAAAGAGAGATGAAGGAATGCTTATTAAATTTTCATTAGGCATAATGATTATTCTCTTCGGGTATTGCTAAACTTTTTGTTTGAATGAGTGAAAACACATTGAGAAATGTCACATTACACACTCATCTAGTGAACTCAACATACTTAGTGGAAATTTCTACTGGCTGTTTTTGGGTGTTGCTTTCCCAATTTCCTTTTGCCTTTGCTGTCTCCCAGAGTGAATCAAGGGAAACCTGTCTTTGAAAAGACTTCTTCTTTTGACTTGTCTTTTATTTAGGGAACTTTCTGATCTTACCAGAATAAGTAACATTAGTGTTCAGTCTCAAGTATTTCTGAGGGTTTACTCCTTTACCCACAGAAATACGCACTTGGGGAAGAAGTAAGAGAAGCTCTAGTTCTCCCAACCACAGGACAGCAAGAGAGTTAACCCATGATGGGGCAAGCAGAACCTCAAAATAAACGTGAGTACATTCTCTCCTCTCAGTTTTAAGGAGACAAATATCATTACAACTAAGATTTAAAAATACAAATTGTTAGTAGTTAATAGTTGTGAAGATTGAAGACGATAAGGAGGAAGAGTTAAAGGAAATGTCAAAGACTTTGGTGAAGAGGAAGCTCATAGACAGATTCAAATATGTTGGGTAAGAGAAACTTCTTTGTGAAACATAAATTCGGCCAAGAAAGAAGATAAATTATACAGAAAAAAAAAAAAGATGGGAAGAAAGAGAGTAATTTAGGAAGATTCTTTTAAAGGCAAGAGGAAGAAAGAAGATATACAAAACACACTGAATTAGGCTCAGTTTACCTGAGGCTCTGACTTTATCCCATTTTAAGCTGTACTTAAAGGACACAATATATTTGTATTACAAGAATATTAAGCCATATTTTTGGGAAATAGGAAAAATGTGAAATAGGTAATTTTTAAATTAATATTTTTGCTTCATCTCATCACTCTACCATGGCAGCCTTCAATGGGACCACATTGTACACTGGTCCTGAAATACATTTTTTTTAAAGATTTTATTTACAGGCAGAGGGAGAAGCAGGCTCCATGCAGGGAGTCTGACGTGGGACTCGATCCTGGGACTCCAGGATCATGCCCTGGACTGAGGTCGGCGCTAAACCATTGAGCCACACAGGCTGCCCTGACATACACCTTTTTATGTAACAATATAAAATGTCTTGAAGACTTTTTCTGTCAATACACACAAATATATAGGATTATTTTAATCACTGTGAAGAATTCCATCATAGAAATTCATCATAATTCAGAATATTTACTATTAATAATGCACATGCAAGTATTGGTTTCTGGTGCTTTTTTCTACTTCCAAAAGTGCTACATTGAATATCCTTCCATATAAATAAGTTCAGTTATTTCTTTCTTTTAAAAAAGATTTTGTTTGTTTGTTTGTTTATTTATTTATTTATTTATGAGACATAGAGAGCACACATGAGGGAGTGGGAGAGAGGGAGGCAGAGGGAGAGTGAGAAGCAGACTTCCTGCTCAGCAGGGAGCCCACCTTTTGACTTTTGATGTGGGGCTCCATCCCAGGACCCTGAGATCATGACCTGAGATTCAGGCAGATACTTAACTAACTGAGCCACCCAGACATCCAGTTCATTTATTTCTTTTTTATTTTATTTTATTTTTATTTTTTTCAGTTCATTTATTTCTAAATGATAGAGCTCTAGAATTGAAATTGTTGTGGCAAATGTAATTCATCTAAAAATTGATAAGTGCTTGGGATGTCTGGGTGGCTCAGCAGTTGAGCGCCTGCCTTTGGCCCAGGGCGTGATCCTGGAGACCTGGGATGGAGTCCCACATTGGGCTCCTTGCATAGAGCCTGCTTCTCCCTCTGCCTGTGTCTCTGCCTCTCTCTCTCTGTGTCTCTCATGAATAAATAAAATCTTTAAAAAAAAGTTGGTAAGTGCTGCTAACTTGATCTAACGGCTTTCTAATTTATAGTTTAGCATAAGCATGTATTTCCTCACCAGAAGAGTTTATCTCTCCTCAGTCTTGCTGACACTGTGTATTTTCTATTTTCTTTTAAAAATCTCATATGTGAAAAATTATACCATAATATTGTGGTTTACATTTCTTTGAGCATACTTTTTTGTTTAATGACTGTTTATAATTTTAGCAAATTAAATTTTCAGCAAATTTCCTGGTCAGATTTTTGCTCAGTTTTCAAACTGATTTTTGAAATTCTCTATACAGTCTAGACATTAATATTGTGACAAATTTTTCTTTCATATGTCCCTTGTGTTTCAACATTTTTTTGTGTTATATAGATGTTTTAATTTTATGGACCCAAATTATCAATTTTTTATGATTTTCAGGTTTTCTGTCTTATAAAGACTTTCCATTCTAAAAAATTGTTTATATTTTTATGTATGTATATATGTTTTTATCAGTAAGCTCTAAAATTGATTTATTCAGGAGGAGATCTTTAAGCTCTCCTCTAGATCTAAAGTATTATGATTTCATATTTAGCTTGCTCTTCAGTAGAATATTTTCCCGAGTTCTTGTGGCTGAGAAGACAATATATTTATTTATCTTTCCTTTTATCCTAGTAGGAGGCCAGCATCTGCAGCTGATCCCTTGGGCCACTGCTGTTTTTTTCATCTCACTTCTCAGTGCTTGTTTTATTGCAAATTGTTTGGGTAAGTTATTAACAGAAATGAAACTCTGTGAATTATTTCCCCAAACAACTTTCAAAAAGTTTCTCTAAGCCTTTTGTTATTTTGATTTTCTCCCAATATTTCAATCCATACTGCTTTTTAGGGTCTTGACTTTAAAATCCAGAGCTACATTTTTAACCTTTGATGGTGCTGTCTTGTGTCAGAGAATGAAAAATGGGAGTCAAACTCTTTTCTATAGATATGAAGGTTGGTGACTGTAGTAAATCATGCCCCATTTTTGACTGAGATTATAAAGGGCTGCATCTTATCAGTAAACAGTAACCAGCAACAACCCAGCTTTCAGATGGACTGTAGTCTGGTTTTGAAAAGAAGAACAATTGAAAGATTTGTTCTTTCTAATAGCAAGACGTTGTATAAAGTTATTATAATTATGGTAATATTGTATAGGTGCAGGTACAGATAAATAGACCAGAAGAGAGGAATAGAGAGCTTAGTTACAGATCCTGCATGTATGAACTCTTTATATAAAACAGAAGGGGATACTGCAGTTATTGGGAAAGGACAATTTTGTTCAGTTCATGTGCTAGAGGACCATTGAGTATCCTTATTCAAAAAGTGAAATTGGTCTCCTGTCTTGTATTATGTACAAAACCAACCCGAGGTGGATTATTGGCCAAAATGTGAAAAGCAAATCAGTAGTGCTTTTTAGAAGATAAATGGAGAATATATTTATCCTCAAGGCAGAGAATGATTTCTTACTCGTGCTAGCCAATGGAGAAAATAAAGTAAGAATACTGTGCAACAGAAATATCAAGAGGGAAAACAGCCACAGGAGGTGTTTGTAATGCATGTAATGATTAAAAATTAGTGTACAGTATATATAAACAATACTTTCAAATCAATAGGAAAAACTCCTGACAATACAGCAGAAAAGTAGGCAAAATTTTGAACAGGTACTATAGAAAAGAAATTGGAAATGTTTAATAAACACATACAAAAATGTCAACCTCATTAGGTTTCAGGGAAATGAAAATTCAACTCACAATGAGATACCACTGCACAATACTAGGATGGCAACAATTAAAAAGTCTGGCACTATGAAATGTTGATGATGGTGTGGAGCAACTGGACCTCTGATGAGTTGCCGCCGATGGGAGCAGAGAGCAGTACAACCAGCTTGGAAAACTTTGCCACACTGGGTGATAAGCTATATGTTGGCAAATTGAACTACAATTAAAAAAAAAGAAAGAAAATTTTGCCACTATCATAGTTGGCAATATATATATCCTACAACCAGCAATTCCACTCCTAGGCATGTATCCTACAGAGATGCATGCTTCTGTGCTCTAGGATGCATGGTCAAAATGTACAAAAGTGGTATAATTCATAATAGTCAAACACTGGGAGCAATGCAAATGTCTACCAGAAGAATATATAAATATATTTTAATTCATTAAGACAGTAGATTACTTTATAGCAATAAAAATGAATGGATTATAGTTGTATGTAACAATATAGATAAATTTCAGAAATTACACTGAGCAAAAGCAGAACCAAAAGAGTACATATTTTATGATTTTATTTATTTAAAGTTCAAAAGTAGTCAAATGTGATCTGTATGGTTTAGCGATATGTTATTAAGTGGTAAAATTGTGAAGCAAAGCACAAAGTGATTGCTTTAAAAGCCATGGCATAGTTACCTTTAAGAGAGAGGAAGTGGGTTGTATTTAGGATGTGAAGGCCATCTGGGGATGTTGGCAATACTGTGTTTCTTAAGCTGGGTTGTTGTTACCTGAAATGGTCACTTTTCAATAATTCGATAAACTGTACATTTGTGTTTTTCACTTCTTTGCACTCAGTTATATTTCAAAGTAAAAATATTTATTTATTTATATTTTTTAAGGGAGAGAGTGTGCATGAGTGGGGAGAGGTGGAGGGTGGAGGGGGAGAGAGAGAGAGAGAAACTTAAACAGGCTCCATGTCCAGTACAGAGCCCAATGTGGGGCTGGATCACACAACCCTGAGACCATTATCTGAGCCAAAATCAAGTCAGATGCTCAACCAAGTGAGCCAACCAGGCACCCCTCAAAGTAAAAATATTTAAAAGACCAATAAATGTATATAGCTCATAAAACTTGGCAGAACTATCCTGGTGTTCACTAAAAGTCTCCACATATTCTGATAGAAAAATATGCTTAAAAGCATATACACATGAAGGTTTGCAGAACTACTACCATAAAGCACAACATGGATAATATGATACTAAAAATATTAAATTTCAACAATTCTTTTCAACCTATTCACCTGGAGCTGGAACAAAGGACCTGGGAAGTAAGAATAGGGGATAGTTACCTTAACTCAGGAGAAGAGAAAGATCAGAGTGACCAACTCCCATTTCCCTAATTAAATGGTTATAGAGGAAAAGAAAACTAAAGCAACAACAACAACAAAACAAAACCAAAGAAGCTAACTCTTTTCCCTTTTGACAGTGACTCATCACAACTTTCTACGCTGCAGTAAAGGCATGGGAGTGTTCAAGTTACCAGAGTACCACACGAAGCTGATATGTACCAGAGAGATATCAAAATTGAAAGGTACAGATAGCCAAGGGCACAGGAGAATTTATTTCTTTCTTCCATTTCCATTCAGGTTCATGATCTGGATTTAAAGTTATCAGTACTGAGCAGCCCTGGTGGCTCAGCTGTTTAGCACCGCCTTCAGCCCAGGGCCTGATCCTAGAGACCTGGGATCGAGTCCCACATCGGGCTCCCTGCATGGAGCCTGCTTCTCCCTCTGCCTGTGTCTCTGCCTCTCTCTCTCTCTCTCTCTCTCTCTCTCTCTCTCATGAATAAATAAATAAAATCTTAAAAAAAATAAAGTTATCAGTAGTAAACCAAGAGAGATTAAATCATAAGATGAGTTATCTAGTACAAGAGGGAATGTCAATAAATAGGAATAGATTTCTCATGACTGTAATCAGTTGTATAACTGGAGAATATAACTACATGTCTAAGGTCCATTTCCAGAAATCCAAAACATAATACTAATTTAATTCCATTTTCTTTTGATTCAGGTGTATCTTAAGGACTGTTTCCTGCTAGAATAGAGAGCTTTACTGAAGTGACTTTATCTCTTTTATTATGCGGGAATTTGTAAAACCTCATTTGGGAGGATGAGGAAACCCTTGAGAGTTCTATAGGTTCTTTACCCCCTTTAGATAAAATTTCCTGCAAAAGGCTTTATTTTAGAAACATTTCATATATGAAGTAAATAGATGTAGGGACATTGAAAAATGATGATGTCTTCTAAGAGAATATCTTGTAATTTTCTTATAGTCACTATGTGATTCAGATACTTTTGTTCAAAAAACATTTAGAAATGTAATTTTCAGGATTTTTGAAAGGGGGGAACGAATGATTTTGTGAATCCTGGTATTATTCCCCAAAATATTAACTGGATAGTTAACAGCATAGCTATGCAATCTGTTACAGATGAAATGCTCCTTTGTAAGTGATTTTTGTTTTAATTTCTCACTAGGGAGCAGGGGCAGTTGCTGTCCTTTTGGCTGGAGAGCCTTCCAGTCCAACTGCTATCTTCCTCTTAATGACAACAAGACCTGGGCTGAGAGTGAAAGGAACTGCACGAGTATGGGGGCTCACTTGGCCACCATCAGCACAGAAGCTGAGCTGGTATGTTAGGAGGCTCCCATCTGTCTCTCTGTTCATTTGAATCTCTTTGCAGAGAAAAAGGAATTTCTCTGCTCTGCGTCTATGCCTTTGCTTCATCTCTTTTATCTTCCTCTCTCCTTTTTCTTCATCTGGCCAACGTCTGGTCTTTCCAGATTTGATTTTTGTGTCATTTCCTCCAGAAAAGTATCCTGACCACCTTCCCTTCTCCATCCTCCCTGTTCTAATTTGGAGATGCTTCTGTGTACTTTGTGCATTGTGTGATAATAGCACTGAGCTTATCTGTTCTCTGCCCCATTCACTTGGTAGAGTGTGGGGCCCTGCTTTTCTAATCTTTGCATCTCCAAAGTCCTGCACACTGGATAGGTCTTGATAAAATGTTTGGTAAGTAAGTGAATAAATGAATGGTTTAATCAGTACTGAAATAGCTTCTCAGGAGAAAGCATAGGAAAAATAATTCATGGTTGTAATTCTAAATTTAAAAAAATTCTTAAGTTTAATTCAATTCTTTAAAAACAAATGTATTTCCTCATCTAATATACATCCATATATGAACAAGAGCTCATAGTCTACCCTTTCCTAAGTTTGGGGGGTTTCCTGGAGGATTCTGTTCCAATGGCTTTGCAACCTATAGGCTGACTCTTTGAATAAAATGGAACTTAATTTAATACACAGCAATTAAAGAAGGCAATTTTAAAAATGAAAGTTTAAAAATTTGGATCCTATTAAGCACTGTGCTAAGGGATTTGCAAGTCTGATCTCACTAACTCTTCACAGAAACTCTGTGAAGTAGTAGAGTGGTCCCTTTTGAAGATGAGAAGTCTTGGGTTTGGTGAGATTAGAGCACTTACTAACATTACACAATATATGGGAGAGGCAGGGTTTGAAAGCAGATCTGACTGAAGACCGTGCTTTTGTGCTTAGCTGGTAATCTAGATCTTTTCCCTCTTTTCCATGTTAGGAAACAGTTATTAACAGTTATTAAATAACAAATGCAAATATACTTATAAAAATTTCTATTTTTATGCAGAACTTTATTATTCAATTTTTGGATAGACAGTTTTCATATTTCCTGGGACTTATAGATGAGAAGCATGAAGGCCTGTGGTCGTCGGTGGACAAAACACCATTTAAACCAGATATTTTGTGAGTATATTGACTGGGGTGGAAGAGCTTTATAGGTAAAGGTGAGAAAATAGTAAGCAGAAATCATTTGGGCTGGAGTATACTGATGTAGAAATGCTTACTCAGAATAGAACACCATGTGTTGTGTAACCTTTATACTAATATACTACAATACTTCTATCAGACAGTGCAGCTCTAAAGTTTTCACCAGAGGGATTTTCTCTGCATGTCCCCTGACCCCCCCCCCCCACACACACATATGTTTTGTTTTGTTTTTTTTTTTCATTTCAGATTTCAGCATGAGGATGAACCCAACAATCAGAAAGAAAATTGTGTTGTCCTTGTTAATGCTCAAGACAAATGGGCCTTGAATGATTTTCCTTGTAACTTTGAGACAAGAAGGATTTGTAAGTTACCTGGAACAGCATTCAACTAAAAACTTCCAAAGGAGTCCTTGTGATGGGGACAGAAAAGAAGAACCAATTAGATTCAGGCAGAATGTACCTGTACCATTGGAACAGAGAAAACATGCTGGGAGAGTAGAACATTTTCAGTTAGGGTAGCCTTATTTATTTTTGTTCTAGTCATTCAAGATAATGTGTTTTTGTGTGGTATGGTGGCAGGATTCATCTTTACTATGAGAATTTGTTTTCATTAACTTTGCTTTCTTGGTACTATATCAGAGCATTTACTTTTCAACTGGTGTGCATCAATTACATATTGAACAGAGTGGCTCCAATGATGCAATCCCTTAGTCTTCATTTTCCTCTACTCAGATTCTTAACTTTTAAGATTCAAACATGAGATATTCCAACTGGTAGTGGTATGCCTTTTTTTTTTACTCCAAATATGACAAACTCATTAATTTTTTTTTAATATTTACTTATTTGAGAGAGAGAAAGAGAGGAGGAGCAGAGGGAGAGAGAGAATCTCAAGCAGATTCCCCACCAAGCACAAGTCCTGACATGGGATTGTGAGGCTCAATCTCACAACCCCAAAGTCATGACCTGAACTGAAATCAAGAGTCTAATGCTCAGCGAAATGAGCCACTCAGGCTCCCCCTAGTCTATGTCTTGCAGTCTGATTATTTTTCATTACCTTCATGGTGACCAGCACAGACCATCTTTCTTACCTGGGTTATTACAGTGGACTTCTGACTGGTCTCCCTGTTTCTACCCTCAGCCCCTGTCAATGTTTCCAAGTCTCACAGCACTTCTCCTATTCTTCATAATTTCTTTAAGACAGCTGATAGTAATTTCATAAAAATAAATGCAAAATTTATTAGGACATTGTGGTAGTCCTAGAAGTTTGAAACACTTACAAAATTTAAATACTGGTTTTGTCTTTGAAAAAGAAAGATGTGTTAAAAAGGTAAACAGGAAAAAATATAAATAAAAGTATAAGTTAAATCTTCCACCCTGAATTCCAGTCTCTTAAATGCCTCTTCAGAGAAACTATGATTATCAGTTTCTTTCTTTTTTTTTTTAAAGATTTTATTTATTTATTCATAAGAGACACACACAGAGAGGCAAAGGCATAGGCAGAGGGAGAAGCAGGATTCCCCCTGCGGGGAGCCTGATGCAGGACTCGATCCCAGGACCTTGGGATCACAACCTAAGCTGAAGGCAGATGTTCAACCACAGAGCCACCCAGACACCCCTGATTATCAGTTTCTTATATGTATTTCCATATATGTTTAAATATGTGTTAGATAAATGTATGTATGTATATAACCTACTATTTTACACTGATGGAAACATTATCTACATCATCTTAAACATCTTGCCATTATTTTCTCCCATAAATCTCAGAGGTTTTTGTTTGTTTTTTCATCATGGTAGGTATACTGTTTGATCCCCATCCCTTCTTTCCCCTTTTCCCTACCACCTCCCCTCTGGTAACCATCAGTTTGTTCTCTATAGTTAAGAGTCTGTTTCTTGGTTTGTTTCTCTCTCTCTTTCTTTTCCTTTGTTCATTTGTTTTGTTTCTTAAATTCCACATATGAGTGAGGTCATATGGTATTTATCTTTCTCTGACTGACTCATTTCGCTTAGCATAATACTGTCTAGCTCCATCCACTTGTGCAAATGGCAAGATTTCCTTTTTTTATGGCTGAATTATATTCTGTTGTATATATGACACATCTTCACTATCCATTTATCACTGGATAATTAGACCTGGGCAGAATGTATCTGTACCATTAGAACTTGGGTACTTCTGTAGTTAGGCTATGTAGATAATGCTGCAATAAACATAGGCATGCATATATACCTTTGAATTAGTGTTTTTGTATTCTTTGAGTAAATACCCAGGAGTGTGATTACTAGATCATAGAGTAGTTCTATTTTTAATTTTTTGAGGAACAACCATACTGTTTTCCACAGTGGCTGCACCGGTTTGTGCTCCCACCAACAGTGCAAAAGTGTTCCTTTTTCTCCACATCCTTGCCAACACTTGTTTCTTTTGTTTTTGAGTTTAGCCTCCTGACAGGTGTGAAGTGGTATCTCATTGTTTTTTTGATTTGTATTCCCCTGATGATGAGCAATTTTGAGCATATTTTCATGTGTCTTTTGGCCACCTAGATGTCTTCTTTCTTTGGGGAAATGTCTATTCATGTCTTCTGCCCATTTTTAATTGGATTTTTTTTTTTTTTTTGGTAAACATCTGGCATTTTTTACTTAAAAATACCGTTTGGAAAATATTTTATACCCTGTTCCGTATAAGCAAATAGTATTTCATTATATTGGTATATCCTAATCTGAAATAATCTTTAAGTGGCAAAAATATTTCCATTATATAATAAAAATCAATAAAATAATGGCTGTGAAAAAAACCATGAGAACAATCCTAGTTCAGATCAGAAAAAGAAGACAGTTCCAAGAGGATTTCTTTTCCTTATGAAAATATGGGACTGATAAACTGTATTTGAATACATTAAGAGGTGATGTACAATTCTGCATAGTTAAGGGATGCATTATTAATCAGTACATAGAAAACTGGATAAATAACAAATACTGCCAATATTAGCTATACAAAAAGCAAAATGCTTTTTTTTTCAGCACCAAAAATCAGTTTTTTAATAAAGGATGCCAAGGTCACATTACCCTCTTGAATACATTAAGAGAAAAGATTCCATAGAGAAAAGATTCCATTCCAGATCCCACCCTAAGCAAAATGTTTTTAAGGAAGTATATAATATAATCATGATACAGTACAAGATTCAGCTGTGAATAATATTTACATATGTATAACATATCTGTAAAAATTTTTGATAATGAGTATGTATCATTTTTTACCAAGTGTATTAGAATGATTTTTCTTTAAAATATTCAGAGGCCCAAATAGTAATATTTATATCTTAACAATAGTTTACTTTGGGAATATTGTCTTGGGAATACAGATAATTACTCTTTTATATTTTGTAACTTCTGGATTTTCTGGTATCTAAGTATTTGTGTAGGCCCTCTTGTAAAATATTATGTTTTAAAATAGTTTCAACCAGATGATCTACCCCTCAGAATAATAACTTTAAGCACGAAACTCTGATTGTTTCTTTTTTTGCTGAACTTGAAGACAAAGTTAATTGTATAATAAATTATAAATATATGGTGAAATAATGTGCACTGATACTTGCATATATCTTTCAGTATTGAAATAAAATTTAAAATATCAAATTATACCCTACAGAGAAACAATGGTGAACAAAAGTATTTCCATAGGTCTTTCAGTGTGTCCTCATTGATGTTTATAATTTGAAAAAAGGGAATTAGAAAGTAGAAGATACATATACTGGATTACTTTTAGGTTGAATGACTTTTGGTTTAAAGGCATTTTGGTTTCAAAACCACAAATGGTCACTTAATACCTTAGAGGAATAAACATTTGTAAGAAAAAATATATTTTATATTAATGTGCATGAATTAATGATGTATGAATTTTGAGGGTCTCTTTGTCAAGCTGTGTGCAAGAAACATGGTTATTAAAGGTGCTATGTTCCTGAAATATTCTTGAGTAACCTTATCAGTATTGAAAAAATAATATGCAAGAAGTGAATAGGCTTGAGGTAGGAAATTGTCAAGCTGAATGTTCTCTTAGAACAATTTGACTGTTGGACCCTGGCCCTAGCTGAGGAATAGCCACAAATTCAGGTGAGATTCAGTTATTCAGTGGAAGAGAATAAAGAGAAAAGGGAGGTGCTGGGTTGAACAGACTGAGTAATAGTCTGTTTGGAGCTGAAGCTTAGCATGGCCTGCTCCTAGTGAGGCGCAGTAAAGGTCTTTAGCTAGAAGTCCACATGTCTTTGGAGCAGGAGTAAGTTTCATGACTTGAAGGAGTCTTACTCACTGTACAGGAAAACATAGTTGAGGGTACATGCTTGGGCAGGGGTAAAAATGAATGAAGCAAATCCTGCCAAAAGGAGCATTCTTTTCTTTTCCCAGTATTTGTTAGAGAATTGCTTGGTGAGTTTTGAGAAGTCCTGAGACTAATATGAAGAAAAATGCATGTCAATCAGTATCACAAATTATAACATTTAAAACTACTTATTTTATATCAGAAGCAACACAGTCCTTATGAAGTCCCTATGAAGTCCTCATTAAGTGCAGCACATGCAGCACATACTTCTCTCATGTTGGAGTTATATTCATGCTCTTTTTCCTCCGTATTTATGCATTTAAGTTGTGCTTTCTGTTCTTAGAGAATTTTTTTTGTTGCTTGAAACATTTATTTCTGGCATTTCACAAATCCGAAACATGTTGAAGAAACAGGGAACATCATTCCAGTTTTTCCTTGGATTTGAAGAGTCTCGAATGGTGGCACAGTCCTCCACTGTAACTATATTATTGGGCTCCCCTACATCCCAGAAGCTAAAAGAGAGTAATGCAGGAGATTTAAAATCCCAGCTACAAGAATCCACGTGACCTAATGTGCTAGACAAATTAACATTTGTTCTGTGTAACTTCACAACAGTTTTGTTAGTTAGGCATTATAATCTCCATTTTAATGATGAGAAAAAGGAGTCCCGGAAAAGCTGAACCATTTGTCTAAGTCAATAGAGTTTATGAGTAGCGAAGCTGAACTGGATCTTCCTGACTTTCTATTTTGTCATGCTCCCTCATGAATGTAGGCTCATAATGAGAAGTTACTGATATTCTGATGGATTTGTTTCCTTCGCACTCAATATCACCTCTTAACATTTGGTTCCCTTTATTACACATCAAGTTGGTGTTAACTTTGGTATATACTTCAGTGGTGCTCCAGGGCTGTTGTGAAGCAACTTTCTAAAGTCTCCATCCAACTGGACTATTCTCTTAGGACTGACCTTAACCATCTTGACCTTTCATTTCCTCAAATGCTAAGTGAAGATTGATAATGTCAGTGTATCTCAGAATGGTGTAATTTAGGTAAAAATGAAATAATGAGGGGATCCCTGGGTGGCTCAGCGGTTTAGCGCCTGCCTTTGGCCCAGGGCGCGATCCTGGAGTCCTGGGATCAAGTCCCACGTCAGGCTCCCGGCATGGCGCCTGCTTCTCCCTCCTCCTGTGTCTCTGCCTCTCTCTCTCTCTCTCTCTCTCTCTCTCTCTCTCTCTCTATGTCTATCATGAATGAATAAATAAATAAATAAATAAATAAATAAATAAATATTTTTAAAAAATGAAATAATGAATGAGATAAAAACTGAAAACTTCAAAGTGTTGTGCTCTAATGATGTAAGGTCATTATTAAAGAGAAAAGAGACATTTCAAGGGGCTTCCATGCTTTCACTCCATAAATCTGCTTTCTCAAATCACTATTTTTGTCTCATTTACTAGTTTGGGGCATAAGACTCTGAACTACACTCTTTCTCTCTGCTGCATTTCTAGTGAATTAGTCTTTAATTCTAACCCTCTCCTTATTTTCATCTGTTATTTACCCTTTATTCAAATAGTCTCAGAAAGTGAGAGCACTAGATCCTTATGCTTTCTTCATCTATCTTCTTGCATGTAATATCACCAAGAGTTGACCTGAAAATATCTCATGGAACAGAAGGAGGTTCTGAGAACTCCCCTAAACAATGGTCTAACTTCGAGATTTAAGACAGCGTTAAAATTTTTCTGCGAGAAGGAAATTACCTCAGAGATTCTGTGAAAGGTGTGCCATCTACCCATTGCCATTGACCCTCTTTCACCTGGTCTGTCAGTCCAATATAAAACTCTTTCCTCTTAGGTTTCGCAAAGAAAAGGAATTCCTATGGAAGCAACACATTAAAAAAAGAAAAAGACCAATTGTTTCAATTTTGAACAAATGTTGAAGGTAATTGTTATTAAAAGTGATAAAGCAGGACCCAGACTACAGATGATAGATAAGTGGCTCTGAAATTGTAAGATCATGGAGAATTCTCTCCTAATTTTTTTTATGGTGGTAAAAATATACATAACATACATCTTTAACAGAGAAGGAGGTTCTCAATATCTCATTCAAATGAGATATTTGAATGTTATTTGTAGCAAAATTTACTGTATATATATATACATCATAAACATTATTAATCGCAGCTTAAAGACAGTAGACATATCCTTGACATATCTGACATAATCATATGATATGTTCATCAACGTAATAGCCATTCTAAAATGAACTGCCAGGGGATCTCCGGGGGGCTCGGCGGTTTGGGCCTTTGGCCCAGGGCACGATCCTGGAGTCCTGGGATGGAGTCCCGCATCGGGCTCCCGGCATGGAGCCTGCTTCTCCCTCTGCCTGTGTCTCTGCCTCTCTTTCTCTCTCTCTGTGTCTATCATAAATAAATAAATAAATAAATAAATAAATAAATAAATAAATAAATAAATAAATAAATCTTTAAGAAAAATAAAAAATAAAATGAACTGCCAGCCCTTTTCCCCCCATCTTACTGATAAAGAAGCTAAACACAGAAATGCCTTTTTTTTTTAAAAAGCTCTTCTGATAATGAAAATAGAGTAGGTATCTACTTACAGAAATAGTAGGAACAGCACACATTTTAATACATTCATTTAACAAATAGTAATTGCGGGCTAAACACTATATACATGTACGAAGAAAGGAATAGATCCTATGAAGAAGGTTACACTGACACCAGAGGAGTCAATGCACTCCAACTACCTGCTCCTCCTGTGTGTTGATAACAACCAGATGAGCTCCCATGTTGGAGCAGTTTTTTAAACTCGATGTCCAGGACATAGTATTAGTAGAAAAGAGGTAGCAGCTAGATTGAAAATGTACCCAGTCTGACGGACAGCAATTCTTGACTGAACCTAGGAGAGAAGTTTCCATGAGTGTCCTAGCCCAGAGGAGCGCCATGTAGCATTCTTCTAAGCCTTGGAACAAGACTATATATATATAGGAACGTTGGGAGTATATTTTTGAGATTTCCAAATTCCCTATTCTATATATATATTTTTCTCCTTCACCTCATTGGAAGCAAGTGAGGAGTGAAAAGAAAGTGCATTTCTGAAGATAATATCTTCCACTTCTAGATTTTCTGTTCAGACATACCTCAAATTTATTCTAAAAGTTTTCTATCATATCCCCCAAATCTCCTTGAACTTCTTACCACCAATTCCTCGGCATTCTCATATAGTACAGGCAAGATTTTACATTTTGTTTTTGAAAAACAGGACATCCTTCAACTACTTTACTCATCCTCAAATCAATCTAGAAGCCAAAAAAAAAAAAAGTGTTGATATATAAATGTTGATGTTCAAATTTGAGGACTATTATACCCAATCCGTCACTGGAGCAGGAGAAGTCCATGAAAGCCTCATGTAGCTGGAACTTATTCTCGTCACAGAGTTGAAAGTTATGATATGTCACTGTAAGGAAAGGGGCATTATTAATGTTCATTCCTCTTGAAAAAAAAATAAATTTGATCATTTTTGTATTTAAAACAAAAGTATCAATAATCATGATTTTTTTCTTTTCCTTTCCTTCTTTCTTTTTCCCTTCTTTTTTTACACTCTTTGTCCTTCTACATGGGAGAGGCACTGAAATTTACTTACTCAAAGAAAGAAGAAGGAATTCACATTAAAAAAAAGATTCTATTTATTCATTTATGAGAGACACAGAAAGAGAGGCAGAGACACAAGCAGAGGGAGAAGCAGGCTCCATGTAGGAGCCTGATGTGGGACTTGATCCTGGGACTCCAGGATCACACTCTGAGCTGAAGGCAGATGCTCAACCACTGAGCCACCCAGGCGTCCCGAGGGAATTCACATTTTATGGTTTTCCTGATTTATGAAGACAAATGTACTCAATCTGTGGTCCCAAAACCCAGAGAAAACAAATACATTTTCACTCTTGTCTTATGCCTACCCTTCCTCCCTTTCTTTCAGAAAGTGATTTTGTCATGTCTCTGGCTAGGATCCCATAGAGAAGTTTACCCTAATGATAGGAGGGAATACAAAGGAGAAGACTCAAGGCCACCAAAGAGATGAAAAAAATGTCTATCATGAGAAATGTGTCAGAGTTTGCTGAGATGGGGTAACCATTCTGTACTATTTGGGATTCTAGTTGAGCAATAATCTCCAGAGAAATAGGGAAGAAAGTGGAACAGAAATATCCTTTGGGGGAGAAAAGAACCCCCAGGCAACAAGAAAGATTTTACTCCTAATATTCACCAGGGAGATTAAACTTGCCCTTTAGAACTCACCAAGACATCTGGTGATAAAACAGACACTTAACAGTAGAATGGAGACCCCAGCGATTGTCCTTAAGAGCACTTGGGAAGAGAAGCATCCTCTCTCTGTAGAAATAAATATGCAAACATGGTCAATCTTCCCCTTGCAAGATACAAAAGAGATTTGTTTTTTCTTTTTAAGATTGTTAAATTAAAAAGTTAATTAAATTGTTAAATTAAATAAGTTAAAAAAACTTATTTATTCATGAGAGGCACAGAGACACAGGAAGAGCGAGAAGCAGGCTCCCTGTGAGGAGCCCGATACGGGACTTGATCCCAGGACCCTGGGATCACAACCTGAACATAAGGCAGATGCTCAACCACTGAGCCTCCTAGGTGCCCTACAAAAGATATTCTTATTCAACCACTTCTTTCCTTCCACTTGCACTGTTCTATATGGAGTAATTCTCCAACTTCAGCATGCATCAGAATTAGACAGAATTTAGACGGTTGGAACACAGATGATGGTGCCTCACCTCCAGAGTTAACAATTCATTAAACCTGGTAGGGAGCCAACAAGTTCCCAGGAGCTGCAAAAGCTACTGGTCTGGAAACCATCTTTCGGAACCACTAGAATAAACCATTGCTAATCTTAAGACTCATGACCCGAGAGAGATGTGCAACTTTTCCTTCCTAAGCCTCTCAGGTTTCAACCCTTCTCTGTCTTTCCCTTTCTCCCTCTCATCTTCTCTGTTCTTCTTGTTTCTCTCACTCTACTTTTCTTGGTGTCTCATTTCCCAAGCCCTCTGTAAATCAATTCAGATAAAACGTAGGCCATCTTCTAGTGGTTCCCCTTCTCCTCCTTCCTGACACACATTTTACAGACAAGGAAAGTGGATTCCAGAGAAGTGAGGTGACTTGCCCAAGGCGACACAGGGAAAAGGTGGGCAGAGCAGTCTGATTTAGCTCTCCCTGGAATTCAGTCAGTGATCCTCAGTATAATATACCATCCCTGACCACTGCCTCAGCTTCCTCTCTTGGGTTCTGTCCCTGTCTTCCTTCTTTTGCTCTGGTGGAGACTTTTCTGTTGTCCCATCCCTCAAAATATTTATCACCTCTTCCCAAAGGAAAGATCTACAATAGAAAGGGAGAGTTGCAAATTTTACCTGTGCCTTGGGATATAGATGGTTGGGATGAATTCATTTTCTCTCTCTGTCTCCCTCTCCTTCGCTTGTCAGTTTCTGAGTCCAGAAGTACTTTGTTAGTAAGATTCAAGGAAAACGAATCTTTTTTCTTTCTTTCTTTCTTTTTTTTTTTTTTTTTTTAGGAAGTGTGACCCTAAGACATAATAATATGAACGTGTTCTGTGGTTTTGCATTTCAGTCAGTGTTTCCTTTCTTGCATAAGGATGAAAAGGGAACTTACTGGATGACATGTCTGTCTCCTCATTTTAGGAAACACAAAATGGGGAAATGGTGAGGTGGTTAAGTAGCATCAGAAATGGGCTGAGCCTGTAGATACACCAAGGGCTTAAAAATACTGTTTTGTTTTGGTGGATAAAATGTCTCTACTTTCTTTCAGACCTCACCCATCCTTTAGTTTGTCCTTGACATTTGTGAGGCCGACCTCTACATTTCCAATTTCATTTTCCATCCTTACCACCACACATTTGTTAACAAGGGACAGAATCACTCTTGGCACAGAGCTAGGCATACAGTACATGCATTTACAACTTAGCCATGTGAATTCCTTTTCCTATTGTATGGTTTTGTTTTTTCTTTCTCCTTCACTGGCATCTCTTGAACCTTCTTGATTTCTCTCACGCTTGTATATGTTGTATTGTGGGTTTAATATCTCTTCTATCAAAGTGCTCACCACTATGCAATCTCACAGGTCCATCCCAGCTGAATCACCTCATGTGGTGTGATTACTTTGAAATTCAGCTCCATTCCTATGTCAAAACACAGCTTCTGGAAACTTCAAGACTCAGCAGATAGTGTCATTCTATTCTTCTGAATTATTTGAGGATTTTTGTTTTGTATTGGTGCCTATATTAGGAGAAATAAATTTGAATGTCAGAAGAAGCAATTTCAATTAGACAGGGGGGCACCTGGGTGGCTCAGTGGTTGAGCATCTGCCTTTGGATCAGGTCATGATCCCGGGACCCCACAGAGAGCCTACTTCTCCCTCCACTTATAGCTCTGCACCCACCCCCCCACCCTGTCTCTCATGAATAAATAAATTATATCTTAAAAATTCAATTAGACATGAAAATATAATGTTTCTCTGGAAGGTAGATGTAGTAGTGTTCCACTCCCTTCCATAAAAATACTTAAGAACAGGATCAAACTGGTCTCTATTGATGAAAATTCACAAGTGTCAGGAGGCATTAGTAATATACATATATGACCTGGTAATCAGTACACTGTGACTCACAGATTTCACATCTTAGAAAATATCCTTGTTCTCAAAGGGACTTTTTATTGTTTCGATGTATTACTCAATTTCTTCTGCATCCTTTATTTTACAGTTATGTAGTTTTTTTTAAAAGTTAAAATATTCTACAGGTATATTTTATAAAAGATATGCATATCTAACATGGGTTTTATCAGCAAATTGCTTTTGACTGGTAAAAAGAAATTATCTAGTGGATGGGTTAAATAAATTATTAAATGATGAATCATAGTGACTACAGCCCATGATTTATTAATTATGATCAATCTGTAATAACAAATATCAAGAAACAATTATATGTTAATTTATGAACATGCAATTGACTAATGTTAATAATCAACAAATTAATATCTTACTAGTCAAAATACATGTATATTTTATCCTTTGTCACTTTTTCCAAATTATAAAAGCAATATTTTTATTGTTAATAGTATGAGAAAAATGTGGCAAGTAAAAGACCTCCCATCTGTGCTAAGTGCACCCTTCTAAAGTCAACCAAGCTTAATAATATACCTTAATGTCTCAGTGTGTATACATGCTTAAAGTATATACCTTGAGACATTTTCCAAGCTTAAGTCAAGTTTATATAATATATTGCTTATTTTTGGTCAAATGAGATCATACCTGCAATATTTTCATGTTTTAAAAATTACTTTTATAGTCACCAATGTATTTAGGTATCTATCTTAACTCTATTGTTTAAACTTTTTCTGTAATCTATAAACCAGGCACAAATAATTCATAGTTTTTCCTTCCTCTTACACATGAGGTCATGGCTACCTTTATATATATTTGCAGGTGCACATCTTTTGGCTCAATGATACATGCCAAATCTTAAAAATAATTATTTGACTTCAGTTTTCATCATAGAATAACATTATGAGCCATAACCATAAATATAAAATTTTATCTGAAGGCAATTTTCACTGCAATTGAATATTAAACCTTATTAAGTAAATGTAACACAATGGCATTACATTTGGGAGCATTGATTGCTTGACAGAGCAGCTGGTACATGACTCATGCAATCAGTATGCTGCTATATTTTTGTGTGATACAAACTTCCTCTTCACTGTGGGAGAATAGAGAACAAGATATTTTTGGACACTTTACTCTTCTGGAATCTCTTATTGCTACTCTTTAACAACAATAAGAATTTCTTTCTGTATCAAATATGATTTTCCATGAATTTTGTTAAGCAAGATTTTGGAACTTTTCTGCCTATGAAATTGCAAGGTGGCAAAATTGATATTCTGCTGTTAATTCATCTGTGTAAAATGTGAAAAATTCCCATATAGAATTTAACTTAAAAGACCTGTCACCTAAATGGAAGTTAAATAACAAAACAAATGACTTATTTCATATTTAAAGATTTTTACATCTTTCAGAGGTATTCTGCGAAGATTAAATGCTATAATTAATTTCTGTTACATTTGTATTATTAGCTCATTTTTTATTTTTTATAAATGTATGTGAAACATATTATTTAAATTTTTCTGAAAAATTTTATTAAAGCTATGAGACATTGTACTCCTCATTTTCTTTAGAGATTTATTTATTTATTTATTTATTTATTTATTTATTTATTTATGAGAGAGAGAGAGAAAGAAAGAGCATGAGTAGGAGGGGCAGAGGGAGAGGGAGGGAGAGAATCTTAAGCAGACTCTTCATTGAGTGGGGAGCCCAACACAGGGTTCCATCCCATGACCCTGAGATCATGACCTGAGCTGAAACCGAGTCAGACGTTTAACCAACTCAGCCACCCAGGTACATCTGCACTCCTTTTTAGTATTTGTATTCACTACCAACTGTCCTATGTATTTTTTAATAAAAAAAAAGAACTTTAGAAGAGAGATTATGAAGATATAACTATTTGAAATGGTAGCTGTAATGATGATTAGATCATAATGCACATTCCTTAGTTAATTACTTGGCATGCAGGTCCCAAGCCTTCAGTTAAGTGGGGCTCTCTCTTCCCTGACCCTCCCTTCCCCCTCAACCTCTCCCTTCCCCTCCCCTCCCTTTCAGTTCAGTTCTGTTGGGAGCAGATTGGGAAGAGGCTGCTACAGGTCTCTTGAAGACTCAGTCAGAGATGAGCAAAGTCACGGGAATAGCATGTAAAACACATGAAAGAAGCAAGCATCTTCTAAGGCCTAATGAATTCTATTTGGGGGACAAGAACAAGCTATTCATTTGCTTTTTCCCATGCTGGTCCCAATTTGATGCTACTGCCTCTGGTTCTAAAAATTCTGCTTTGGGCTTCAGTCAGCTCTCACTGTATTTTGGCAGCTGAAAAATCAAATCTCTTTCCTCTGGCAATAGAACCTCTCTGTGAAACTGTCTTTGATACGTTGATAATGTTGCCCTTGTGCTTCTTATATATCTCAATAAAGGAAAGTGTTATTTCCTATCACAAATTCAATTATCATCTTTTTCCTCAGTTTATAATCAACAGTGGCCTTAAATGTTTGAGATTTACTATGTGAGCTCTATGATATTTACCAAGAGAAAGGCAAATGCACAGGGAATGGAGGAGAATGTCGGAGCTCAATGCAGTGATCTAATATAATACATTCATTCACAAACATGATACTGTGTCCCAAATAGGAGGGATTATTTGCTGGAGATCATATAAATATTGAGTGACAGGACAAGATTTAAGACCCAGACCTCTCATTTCAGTGGTTAGTGCCATGTTCCCCCTATTTCCTGCTTGCTTCCTTACTAGAGAGTAGGTTTTCTCCCAAAGGCAGTTGAGAAAATAAAGTGGCCTTCACAGAGTCTGCCATCAAAAGGCCACAGACCCTGGATTTAAAGAGCAGTCGTGGAATTCTGACAGCCTTTTCCTGAATTTACAAAGTAGAGCAAAGGAAAAATGCACATTGTCTACACATAGGATTTCACATAGGAATTAAACAATTCATACATTTTTATTGAGATATAATTTACATATAACATTGGGTAAGTTAAAGGTATACAACATGTTGATTTGATACATTTATAGATTGCAAGATGATTACCACTGTAGTATTAGCTAACACCTCTGTCACATCCTATAATAATAATTATTATTTTTTAAAGATTTTATTTATTTATTCATGACAGACACAGAGAGGGGGTGGGGCATTTGCTTCAATGTGGATGGAACTGGAGGGTATTATGCTGAGTGAAGTAAGTCAATCAGAGAAGGACAGTGTATGTTCTCATTCATTTGGGGAATATAAATAATAGTGAAAGGGAATAAAAGGGAAGGGAGAAGAAATGTGTAGGAAATATCAAAAAGGGAGACAGAACATAAAGACTCCTAACTCTGGGAAACGAACTAGGGGTGGTGGAAGGGGAGGAGGGCGGGGGGTGGGGGTGAATGGGTGACGGGCACTGAGGCGGGCGCTTGACGGGATGAGCACTGGGTGTTATTCTGTATGTTGGTAAATTGAACACCAATAAAAAATTAATTTATTAAAAAAAAAAAAAAGAGGGAGTTGGGGTCAGAGACACAGGCAGAGGGAGAAGCAGGATCCATGCAGGGAGCCCAACATGGGACTCCATCCCAGGTCTCCAGGATCACACCCTGGGCTGAAGGCGGCACCAAACCGCTGGGCCATCGGGCTGCCCTATAATTATTATTTCTTTTTTGTGGTGAGTACAGTAAGTTCTGGTCTCTTAGCAACTTGGAAGTCTATAATACAATACTGTTGACTATTATCTCCATGCTGTGCATTCAGTCTTCAGGAGTTATTTCTCTACTAGTTGCAAGTTTGTGTCCTTACA